ACGCATTTCTCCTTTTCTCGCCATTGGGGTAGCACTCAATACATCTTATTTCATATCCGCTCAACATCAATCACCATTTTAGGCTCTCTCCCCTCTCGGCAAAATTTGGAAGAGGATAGCTCAAGAAAAGTGCGGGCCGCAGTAGATTATATTCGAAGCGACTGAACAGGAAACATCAGGGCGTAATTTTGACAGGGTGTCAGCGCTTCTTGGCACCATTTTGGTGCAACAACTTTCTTCACCAATATTCGTTAGCCTCTCAGTCATGCATCGCGGAAAATAGAACCAAAACCCTTGCTTCGGCGTGCCCCCAAAACCTTATCCAATACACTAGCGCATCCCATCAAGCAAAACACACCAAATACTTCTGTGAAAATTCCACGCTTTTTTCAGCACTCGAACTTCTCTTTGCTTCCACCATAGAATTCAGAACTTTAATTTAATATGCAGTTAGAAGGGAAATGTTATTTAATCATTAAGTGATTGTATTGTTTGACTCTTGGAGTACTTAATGAGACATTTGCTGATTACGAAGTAGTGGAAAAGAAATGACCAGTGTTTCGCCAAAGAATTGCAGCTCAAAACTTGATTATGGAAATGAAGCGATTTTGAAGTGGCTAAACCTAAAACAATACTTACCAAAGCTGAGATGAGGAAGGCAACATTGAGAGCAGAAGCAGATCGAAGAAATGTCTTATTCTCTTTCAAATAGGTGCTAATCCGTTGGGACCGACTCATTCTTTAGCCAGTGTTCTGAAATGTTAAATCTGACTAATATTCGCAGTAAGGCCATGAACCAAAAACCCTGAGACGATCAAACGGCATTTCAACACCAAAATTCAGAAAAATGCGATTCCGAAGGAAATTCCTCCCCTTTTTCCAGATACCACTTGTTAACATAAATAGGTCCCGTCAACTATACATGCTTAGAAAGCTTAGAAAGCTTCCGTCTGGAGTGTTTCCGGTTTTGAGAAGACAGTAAAGTAGGCTCAATGCTGTGTATCATTACTTCAACCGCTCTTGTACAGGCATCCACCGCGCTCCTAGAACGAAATACAAGACTAATGCCCCTCTCCCTCCTGATTGTTCGTGATGGCGATTGACGCTACTTTCCCCTCATAACGTGGATTCTCTTGAGATTCACTCTGCAGGAGTATCCAAACTCCTTCTGCGCACTAGCGTTAGGTCGACGTGAGCTATCGACACACTCCCTGAGACTGCAAACACGCTTGGTTAGGGAATACGTGGATGAGTACTACATGCGCTTCTTCCAGTAGACGATACAATGATTCCAATTCCGTTATTCCTTCTAAATATGAGATATGCAATTGATGACGCTACGACGCGAGTCTCAGAGGAAGCAATCAATGATGGCTCTTATTCTTACTGTATAATCATGACCCATTTGGGATCAGTTCCACAGAAAAATCCGATGATATCTAATATTTTGCGCAACTTTCATTACATGCAAGATCTTTTACCCGCAAATTCGATTTGATGTTCACGAGGTTACATTCTCCTTCACAAAAAACGAAACAAGCAGCGAAAGGAACAAGTCGCATATGCTTTTGTGGGAGATAGTTTCAACTTTATTGGCCTTTCAAAGGAAGTCAAGTTTTGTGAAAGGGGAGCAAGATTGTAGAGATGATTTCTAAAGGCACTATGCTCTGTGATCACACATTTGTTTGATAGTTCGCGAACGGTTGAGCGTTTATCGTACTGAATATGACACTCTACCGTAGCCTTATGATGATCAGCAAAATATGAAACTCCAAACACGGAATAACTATATTACAATATAAAATATAATAATAATAATTAATATAACATGCACTCATGCCCTTAGAGGACATTTAAAATAGGGCCGATGGTAGGTGACACAAGGACTAAAAGGAAAGGTCCTCAGTTCGCCATGGCCATTCGTGATGAAACAGGGGTGGCCAAAAAAAGAGACACTTAGTCCCATGGCGCACATCATCAAACTTTTCATCGCACAGGGTGCCGCTGTTGATGAAGTTTTACGGCAAAATATCCCTTAGATGTCCTCCCATAAGTAGAAGCAGGCCCTCCTCCACTGCCCTCACCGTCCTCAAATATGACGTCATCTTCCATCACCGTTGAGCTCAAGAAGGCCTAAATAATCGTTCCAGCCTGAAGCTGCTACGAATTTCTTCAATCGGTTAACTGACGGATTGCTTCCTAGGGACAGTAGCTCTAATATGCAAGACCCCTTCCGACCAGCGTTTCAGATAACGTCGTAATGGTCCATGATCCGCCGAGGACCAGTTGAGCTCGAACCGTGCACAAGGTTCCCATGGCAAATTCTTGTGATGTCCTTGGTGCAGAAAGCTATTATAAAATTTATTGATAGATTGGGATGTGCTCTTTAATACTAAGTTGGGAGCAGTCGGTTTGAGTTTAGCTGAAGTGTGGTTAATAGTGTAGTGAATG